CCTTCACGCTCCGTGGGGAATGGGGGCAATTCTTCACTCGCCTGCAGGACACCGCGTGGGCGGAGAGTACGGTTCACTCCTTCCATCGGTGGGAGCAAGGGCAGTGGTCTCCGCCCTTCTGGGAAGAGCCCACTTCCATCGTGCAATTCTACCATGCCTTGTCGCGTGGCAAGCGTGCCGCCCCGTTTCCAGCAGCTGCCGTGGCCGCAGCGAACCGCGCAGCTGCCCGCGCAATTCGCGAGGCCCCGAGTGCCGAGCCACCGCGCCGCCCCAAGGTGCAGCGTGCGATCGCGCTCACGCTGCAGCGGGCCTCCTTCTCATCGCCCTTCGCAGTCACGCTCGAGAAGCGCATTGCAGCCTGGGGCGTTTCTCAGCCGCCGCCGCCCCCAGAGCTCGCGACGGGCGGGGCTGCTCTCACGAATGCCGTGCGCACCGTCCGCCCGAGCTGGCGCTGGGCGGTATATAAGACTCTCGCAGGCGGATGGACGACGACCCACCGCATGCACGTTCTCCAGCAGAAACCGTGTGTGTTCGGGTGCCCAGCGGCACCCGATTCATTCCCTCACTACCTCTCCTGCTTGGTCATCCTGAGCCTCCTCTGGTCCCCGACTCGCCCCCCCTCCGCAACACGCTTACACATTGGGGCTTGGGCCCCGCTGCAGCCTATCCGTCTGGGCCCGCGAACGAGCTCTCGTTAACGCGGTCGATTCAGCGGATCGCGCTCGCCTTTCACCTCTTTAACAGAATGAAGCGCGCCTCGCCGACCCCAGCTACGATAGCTGAAGGGTTGAGCGCCGCCAAAGCCCTGCTCTGGAAGTAGACGCGCGGTGGACGGACAGGAGCGGACGGACTTCTTGCCCTCGTCTCGCTTCTTGCCCGCTTGCCCTCGTCTCTTCCTCTTTGAGTACGTGCACTCCTCCTCCTCCTCCTCCTCCTCCTCCTCCTCCTCCTCTCCTTTTTTTTTCCCTGCATGGGGATTTTCGATGAAAAGTTAAACATACCCCAAAAACACACCAAAAAAGACAAAGAAATAGCCAAACATAGTCCCCAGACTATTTTTGTATTTGTTTTTGGTTTTTTTTTTTTGAGATTTTTTTCGTTCCGTAGGAAATCCCCCTGTATGGGGGACAGGCCCGACTTAACCCTCGTCGGAGCCTGCGGCGGCGGCCCTCGTGGGCTCCTGCAGCCCGTTGGCGTTCGGAGGGGGTCAGCCACTCGGTGGGCCCTGGAAGCTCAGGAGGGAAAGAAACACGCAGACACAATGAATCGTCGACCCCCAGGAACATATGGGAAAATATGGGCATTGGGGGGGAAGACAAAAAAACCCAGAACATATGGGAAAATATGGGGAATCCGGTGATTCGTGTCTATTTGTTTGTGTCTCCCATCGCCCCTTCAGAAACGACAGGGCCGTTTTTTTTACTTGCTCCGTTTTGCCGTTTTTGTTGCCGGTTCCGACGCCGTTGTTTACCGGTTCCGTCGCCGTTTTTTTTTGGGGGGGTCCCCGCTTTGGTTCCAATCCTGGAGCCGTTTTTGTTGCCGTTTCGGGTCGCCGTTGTTTCGCCGTTTTCATGTTCAAGGGACCTTTTTTCGGAAACGGTGAAAAAACGGCCCTGCCGTTTCCGGGGCCCACTAAGGGTCAGCCGCGCGCAGAGGGGGGTGGGGGGAGGGAGAAGGCTTCTTAGGAGGAGGCTGCTTCTGAGAAGGCGCGGGCACTGTCTGTAGACGTAAGGCCCGCGCCTTCTAAGAGGCAGCCTCCTTCGAAGACGCCTTCCCCCCTCCGCCTACCCCCTCTGCGCGCCGCAAGGGGGGGGGAGGCGGGGATTTCTCCATGACCACCTGGGAGATGGATCTCGGCGGACCTCCACAGGCGGTGGCCATGGACATCTTCGGGCCCCCAGGGGCAGAACTGTATCCATAACCACCGCCCGCTGGGGCCCCAGGACGTCGATTCTCAGGCGGCAGATACGTAAAAAACAAAAAAAACAAAAAACCTCGCAGGGGGTGTTCTGCTTGTGTGCGCCTGCGGGTCGGAGCCGTGTCCTCTCTATTGGGGTGGAGCGCGATTGTGTCCGCGCCGACGTCATCGATGCATCGCCGACTTCGCGGATGCATCGCCGATACAGTGGCGTTGCATCGGCGAGGCGCCGCGATACACCGACCCCACCCATGTCGGCCCTACTCGGGGAGGCCTCCAGGGAGGCCTGGTGTGCGCCGGCTTGTCAGAGACGTGTCCTTTCTATTGAGTAGGAAACGGATGTAGCAGGGACAAGCGGCCAGCACAAGACGAGCTTGACCGCAACCGAGGGGGATAATTCATCATGGCAAGATGTGATTGACTGTAACCGCGGGGAACAACTCACCAGAGCAATGTGACCTTGCTCTACCATCTTGTTTTTCCCTGTTGCCTCCCCCTCCTGCCAATCCGACACTTCCGACCCCCAAGGTGCACAATTCTCTCCCCCATACCTCCGACTATATGTGTTTTTTTCCATCTCGACTTCTGCTTTTCTGATTTCGGCCTCTGGCTCGGGTTATCGGGCCCTGGGACCTTAGTAAGCTCTGGGAGTGGCAGGGTTTGTGTTCCACGTTTTTTTCGTATAGTGTTTCCTGGGAGGCTCCCAGGAAGGTCCCAGAGGGGCCCAAGAGGCCACTGAGCTCCCCGGCCAAGCAAGCGCACCGAAGACCGAACGGTTTTTCTCGGGCGCCTTCGCACGCTCCAAGTTTGCCGGCGGCTCGCATGGTAGCTGGCTGAGATCACTTTGCACGGCCCTCATTTTGCGAGTGGCTCGCATGGTGCCGTGCTGAGCTCACTCCGTGGCTCGCACAGAAACCTGCTGAGTTCACCCACGACCTCCTCTTACCACCTTCGCACGCACGGCCAGGAGGCCCCCAGGAAGGTCCCAGAGGGGCCCAAGAGGTTGCCACATGCGTTTGTCTCCCGTCACTCATTTTGCTGGCGGCTCACATGGTGGCGTGCTGAGCTCACCTGCAGAGGAGCGCCGACCCACTTTTCGAGCTCTTCGCCAAGCGCCCCAAAGACGGAGCGTTTTTATTCCTGGTCGCCTGCGCAAGTGCGGCCCAACGTTTGCCGGTGGCTCGCATGGTGTCGTGCTGAGCTCACCTCGCACGGCTTTTCTTTTGCGAGGGGTTCGCATGGTGCCGTGCTGATCGTTCTTCGATTGTGGCAAGAGACGCCACGACCAAGCGTCACAGCGTAGCGTCAAACGGACAACACGGGAATCAGCATAGCACAATGCGCCTATAGGTGCCCTCTTCTTTGTTTCCACTTCTCCTCCAAGGTCGGGCTTCGTGGCAATATCAGGTTTGTAATGTTCCCTGGTCGTGGAAAATGTTTGCCGGAGAAACGGTGAGCAACTCTACGGCCTGGACAGTCCAGGGATCCAAAGGGCATGCGGGACCGCTTCGAACATGGGTCGGATCAGGTAGAGTAAGGAAACAAGTGTGATTGGGACCATGCTTGGGTTACCTCATCTGTCCCGTAAAAATGTTTCTTCTCTGACACTCGACGCGCGGTCGGTGCGGATTCGGCTTGGTACCAGCGCGGACACGACGCGAATTCTACGTGGATTCCACGCGCTCTCGACGCGTTCGACATGGATTCGACGCGGATACCGGCGCGACGGGACACAGACATGATCCCCCGAAGGTGCAAGAAGCACGTTGTGTTTTCAATCTGGCGTTTTTTTTCTTGATTCCGATCTTTGGGGCTGATTATCGGTCCCGGGACCTTTCAGGGACGGATCCAGGACGAACGCCTTGGAAGTTGGTCGGGAGTTCTGGTGCCGCGAATAATAAAACATATTGTGGGATTCTTGGGTCTCCCCCATTCCCTGACTTCCCCGCCAATGAAATTGGCGGCTCCCAGAAGAAGGGGAAATCAGGGATCCACCCCCGATGGGACCTTCGAAGATGGGCGCCCCCCCCCCACCGATAATGTATGATCGAGGTGGCCCCAATTTTTTAGCGAGTCGAAGCCCCACAATTCCTGGGATTGGGCTCGCAATGCCCCCCTGGTAGCCGCCGCCGTCGTCCTCCTCCTCTTCCTCACGGAGCAGACGCTCGTGTGATCGCGTGGGGGCTCCAAGCAGACCCCAGGCAGGCCCAAAGTCGGGATGCACACGTGTTGACTGTGGGCCCTTTTGGGTCCACCCGGGGGCCGTCTCGGAGCCCTCTCGGGGGGCCCGCCGGGGTCGTCTCAGCGTGCCCCCCCGCCGAGGAGCACGGCTGCGACGGCGGCAGTGGCAGCGGCGGCGGCAGGCGGCAACGGCACGGGGACGTCGACGGCGGCGCCGACGACGAGACCGACCGCGGAGGCGACGACGACGACGACGGCTACGATGTTGACGAGCACGACGGCGACGGCGACGGCATGGAGGGCGGCAGCGACGGCGCGGACGATGTCGTCGGCGTCGTCACCGTCACGGCGACGTAGCCTGTGAGACCCGACGTTGCAAGGATAACGCAGCATCGCGAGCGATCACGACGGGAGCCCTAGACCCTGGACCCCATCTTGCTGCTGTCGTGTTCGAGCTTTTCGAGCTGGATCGATCTGTGAGGGTCCCAGGGCCCCAAAACGCGCGGAAACGACCTGCGTGAACAGACTGCAACGCCCAGAACTCAGGGACGACGGGGACGACGGCGACGACGACGGGGACGGAGGGAAAGACAACGATGACCATGAACAAGACGAAACGCGTAAACGTCGGTGTCGATTTCGGTCATCGTCCGTTTTGCTTATCTCAGAGCGTGAATTACCTACCCCGCTTTCGCTTCCAGGCAAAACCAAGTCATACCACGCGCCTCCCCGTCGAGCTGCCTGACCAGTGCGGGCCGTAGTTTGGCATCGCTTGGTAGCTCTTGGAAGCGAGGGTGGTCAAAAGCGAGGTAGGTTCGTTTGCCCCCTATTATCGCCAATGCGTGGATCCTCACCGCGACGCGGCGACGGCGACGGCGGCGGCGGGGAGCTCTGCGGCCAGGAGCCCCGCAGAGCCACCCGGCGGGGTGCCTGCGGCCAGGCGCCTCTGGGGGGGGCGCAGCAGCTCGCAAAACCACGGGCATCCGCCCCGCGCCTCGTGCGGCGCTCGAAGTGCAGAGGAGAGCGACGCTCCAAAGCATTGGCAAGAATTCAGTGCGGAGGCGTTTCGTCGGTTTCGGCCGATGGGGGCCCTCGCTGGGCCCCCCCGGACCATGAAAACGCGATTCCGACGAAAGACCGGCCCTGAGGAACGGGTCGAGGCAACGCATCGGACCTCAGGGTGCGACGAGGACCATGATCCAGCCCAGACGGGGAACGAGCAGATGGGGTCGAAGCATCGTGCCGCATCGCCGATGCATCGGCGATGCGGCTCGAGGTGGAGCCCGATTTTCTCCACGCCGACGTCGCAGATGCATCGCCGGCATGCGGTTCGGAGTGCAGTAAAGACACGGCAATAGGGACCGCTTTGGGCTCGGGAGGGGCTCGGGTTTTCGGGCCGTCCCCGAGATTTCTGTCGTGAGACTTGTCTGTGGCCTAGGCCCGCCATGGCCAGAGAAGCCCCTTCGTTCTGCATCATATTCAGGAGGGGAGAAAACACACAGACACAATTAATCCTCGATCCCCAGGAAAATATGCGAAAATATGGGAATTGGGGGGGAAGACAAAAACCCAGAAAATATGAGAAAATATGGGGAATAGTTTTATTTGTGTGTATTTATTTGTGTGTTCTGGGGCCCCTTTAATCATATGATGCGTTCCGTATGGTACCAGTATGAACAGAGAAGAGCGACACCACCCGAGACCAGGGGCAGCGGTAGGGGGCTCAAGGTCCAAGGTTCCAGTGTCGGGCCTCGGGGCCACAAAAAGCGGATCTGGAAGGAAGGAAGGACAAGGGGTTGGCTTTATTGTGGGGCCGGGGATTGACAGCATCACATCGGCGGATGTCAAGATTCGAGGTTTTCAGGCGATTCTGTTCTCGGCGGTTTTCCAGCCTCAGGATGTTCCCCAGCAACTGCGCCTCGCCGGGAGCGTTCCGGGGGTGCCCGGATCGTTCCGAACGGCCGCCAGAGGCCCGAGTTCTGGCTCGAAAACCACCGGGGACGAGGATAGGCTCAGGGGAGGGGGGGGGATGCATCGACCCCCAGTCGCCCATTCCCCATTCATCGCCGATTGGACTGTGGAAGTCGATCAACGGAGAGGAAGCATGCTGCCAAGTAGTTTCCAGATGTCTGCAAAACGTTTCGAGCATGTTTTAAATATGTTCAAAAGCATGCATAAAGCATTTGTAGAACATGTCTTACACATTTTAAACACATGTCAAATTCCTGGGTAGTCGAAGGCCAGACTGTCAGATTGGATTGGGCCCCAAGGGCCAATCTGGCCTGGCCAAACTGGACGATTTGGGTTATTCGCCAGACTGGATTCGCGTTGGCTCCCTCGCCAGATTGCCCCCGTTTGCCAGATTGGGCCTGCCAGATTGGCGCCAGATTGGCTTCAACTACCCAGAATTCAATGACAGGACTGTTAGAGTGTCTATTGGCATGGCATCCGCAACGACAGGAGCCCGACAGCCCGCCCCGCCCAGGAGCGCGCGGACTCGCCATCGGGGGCCTGTCGCCGATCTCTGTCGTCGATGTATCGCCGCTCCCAGCGCGACGCTTCCCCCCTTGAGCCAAGGTCCTCCCTCACATTGCACCTCACTAGACATGTTCGCGTCGTGGGAACATGTGGCGGAGGGTGCGCGGACTCGCTATCGGGGACCTATCGCCGATCTCCATCGTCGATGTATCGCCGCTCCCAGCGCGACGCTTCCCCCCTTGAGCGAAGGACTGCAAAAAAAGGATTGCGAAAAAACCCAGGATTGCAAAACAACCCAGGACTGCAAAAAAACAACAACAAAAAAACCAGGGTTGCAAAAACACCCAAGAAGGATTGCAAAAAAAAAACATGTTTTTTTGCAATCCAGGGTTTTTGTTTGCAATCCTTCGGTTTTTTTGCAATCCCTCGGTCCTCCCCAACACTGCCCCTCACTGGACATGTTCGCGTCGTGGAAGCATGTGGCGTAAGGTGTTTGCCCGTTCTCTGGCTTCGGGTGGCTCTCCATGCCCCGGGCCGGCATTTTTGGGGGACCCCGTGCAGGCAAAAACCGTACATCGGCGGCGGCGCCGCCGGCGCCGCCGCCGCCGCCTCCCCTTGGCGCGCTCCGCGCGCCAGGGAGTGGTTGGCGGTCCAGCGCAGATCCAAGGAATCCGCGCGGATCTCCGCCGAAAGTTCATCTTTCTTCTCATTCCACCGTCACCATTTGGTGCGACCTCCAGCGTGGAGGGCCACGACGATGCCTCCCCGAACTGGGGATATCCATGCCATGCCTCCCAGATGGAGTCCGATGCGTCGGCGATGCGGTTCGATGTGGAGCCAGATTTTTTTTCTCCAAGCCAGCGGTTCCGATGCATCACCGACGTCGCCGATGCATCGCCGATGCAACGGAGACGCGTTGGCGATGCGGCGCGATCGCACAAACCTAACTACTCGGACCTCACCTGGGAGGCCTCCAGGAGAGAAAAGCGATACCCCCGCCACCAGGGGTGAGACCTCCAGCGAGGAGGTCCACGATGCCTCCTTGAGCTGGGGATGCACGGGTGTTCGCGATTCTGTCGGTTCGGTTGCGTCGCAGTCGATTGATCGAAGTATTCGAAAACGCCTGAGCCGAATCACCGCCGCCCCCTGCCCCCTAGAATATGCCTTCGCGGCCAAAAGTTTGGGCAAAGTTTGGCCACGCTATTGGGCCATTCGTTCCCCCAGCCGTTGTGGAAACCCTTCGGGGAACATGTGGGGGAGGAAGAGGAGGATGAGGAGAGAGGCAGGAAAAAGGGGAATGAGGAGCAGGATGAGGAGACCTCTTGGGAGCTTCTTGTGTCATTTTTGGGGCCTCCTGGGAGCTTCCTGGAGGCCTCTTGGAAGCCTCTTGGGACGCAGTCGCGAGCCGTCTCGGGAGCCTCTCCTGGGGCCCTCCTGGGGCCCTCCTGGGGCGCTTCAGGGCCGCCCCGCAGGCCAGCTGCCATCTGCGCAGTCGTGCACGAGCCTCCCGGCTGACCGGCGCGGGGCGGCTGGGCGCTGCGTAATGGGGGATCATAAATGGGGGGGTGGCGAGTGTGGTCCGAAAAGGTACTCAAACGGTACCTGAACGAGCCCCCTGGGGCTCTGGAGGGGCCCGAAAGGGGCACGACAGGGGACCTTTTCTGACCCCCCCATTTGTGACCCCCCCAATTTCACCACCCACCAAACCACCCCAACCCAACCCGAAGGCTCGGATTTACCCTGGATTTCTAGTGGGGGGGGGGTCCGGGAACATCGAAAAAACACGTATGGAGCCCATACCCCCCCCAACCCGAAATTCGGGTCTTCGGGTTGGGTTGGGGTGGTCTGGCAGGCAGTCACAATTAGCCACGCCCGAGGCTCCGCCCGCGAGCCCTCCCTCCGAGGCTTCCGCTTCGAGCCGGCCCTGCACCCGCCCGGGGCGCTGCACAACGTGAGCGGGCCCTGGGACTGCCAGAGGCCCCCGCCGCTCGGGGCCGAGCCCCCCGCCGCGCCCGGGGAGCACGGGCCCCGGCGCTCCGACGGTGCGATGTTTGCATTCTTTGGAGGCCTGGAAAGTGGCACCAACCCCAGACCCCCTCGAGTAATGAAAAAATCATGACGGGATGTTTTTCCTACTTTTCGGCCTCCGGGGGCCCTCACCGGGCCTCGGGAGCGTCAAAAAACGACTCAGGATGCAAAGCCGGTCATATGAAAAGGGTCCAGACCTCTGGGGGTCGACGTAATGAAAAAATCATTACGTCGGGGGTCTGGGACACCAGCACAGGGGGTTGCCTCCACGTGGGGAGGATGATCCTGGATTTCGGTGTTGGTGGTAATATTCCAGTCACCCTGGAAGCCAGGATCTTGCCACCATCACCGAGATCGGGATCGTCTTCCTTCGGTGGATGCACACCGCCGATCTTGGTGTTGGTGTCAACCTCTAGGCCTGCGAATTCCTGGCGGTTGTCTTGAGTCGGGCCTGTCCCTCTACAGGGGGAATATTCAGAAATAGTCAAAAAGTAGTCTGGGGACGATTTGTTTTGTCTATTGTTGAGGTTTTTGCACATGTTGTTCGAGCCACTTTTTATTCTTCATCCAAAACCCCCCTGTGTGGGGGGACAGGCCCGACCTAACGTTTGTCCTCGCTTTCGGCCCCTGGGGACGTCATCGGGCCCCAGGGGCGTCAAAGGCGGATGCGGGAGGAAGCGCTACCCCGGGGAGGGAGTCGGGGGCTTCGGGGCCGCAGAGTGGAGAAATGATCGGATGTCGTTCGCCTCTTCCGGCTTCCCGGGGCTGTCAGAAAGCTGCCCCATATGCAACACATTGGCTGGGATGACAAAAGTCACTGCGCTGGAGATTTGAGTCCTCCTCATCTTCCTGCCTCCTCGCTTGTTCTTTAGCTTTGCGAGAACGCCCACCAAGACAAGACGACAGAGTATAGTTGCATCGGTCCACTCGACATCGGCATTCGAAGGTGCCGGTGCAGTCCCCAACCGTTTTCGCTAACCGACGTTTGTTCTGTTGGATGCAGTCGCTTGCTTCTGACTGGCGAGCACGGATTGGCTGTCCCGCCTGGGCCTACTCGGAATGCGGTGCCGTGCGCAGGTGCAGCCGCACGCTTGCTCCTTCTGTCCGTCCTCCCTTCTCTCGGGGAAGCGTCCGACTCGAGTAAGCCGGAACTCGGGTTTGTTGACGTTTTTCGACGAGCGCGTCCTGGATTTTGACGGTTCCGTTTTCGTGGGATGTCTGCAGCGGGAGGTCGCCTCAAATTTCAGATCGGGTCTCGTCATTTTTATGGTGGCCCCGTCAGGCCAACCCGAGTCCCCCGTACCCGAGTCTTACGTCTCCCCGAGTCTCGGGCAGGAGTCGGGACTTCCGGAGGTCCGCCGCGGTTGGCCTCCCTGTGGACGAGTCGCGCCTCCTCGCTGCCGGCAGGTGGCTCCTCCTCCATGGTTGTCGCCGCGGCCGCTCGTGCCGTCGGGGGGAAAAGACGGCCGGCGGATCGCAGGTGGTCGCATCGCCTCGTGCCCCTCCTCGCTCGTCCTCGTTCGCCCGATCCTCCGCTCTGCTCGCTCGCCCGCCTCTCCTCCCGCCTTCCTGCTGGGGACCCCCAGGCGCCCGGGGATCTCCACTGGGCAGGGGTGACCAAAAAATGGAAGTGTTTGTGTGGCAGCGCATTTTCTTTTGCGTTGTTGGGCGCCCTGGCGCGGACGGCCGAACGACCCCTGCAGCGGGACACCCTGCCCACACGGTCGGCGCCGCAAAAACTGCGCGTTCCACGCTGGCGCCGCGCAAAGGAGGCGCCGAACGGCGCCTGCCCGCGCCTGCGGGTGGGCCTGCGGAGCTCGCGCCCGTGCCTCGCACCCTCCCCCGTGGCCGCCCAGAGGGCTGCTGGCGCGGCGCCTCGGCTCCACGGCCCCCCAGCTCGGGGGGCCCCCGGGCGACGCGGTGACCGCGCCGCGTGTCGAGTCGGCGGGGGTCGTGGCATCGCTCGGACGCGTTTTTTTCGACTAGACGTAAGAGTGACCTCTCGCCGGAGTGACCTTTGGTGCGGGCCAAATGGGGTCCCCCGATCGCCGAACGCGATGCGGTGGTAGCGTCTTGCGCGCTTGTGTTTGGTCCCCCCGCGGCCCCCAAAAAACCGCGCACGAAAGGTCACTCTTACCCAGGGTCACTCTTGCGTGTAGCCGATTTTTTTTCGGCGAGGGCCATCGCGGAGCATCCCGGACACCCTGCGAAGAAAAAACGGCGGCACCGAGGAAGGCACGGGGAAGGGACGTGCCAGCGGTGGCAAGGGATGCGGGGTCGCCGCGCGGTTTTGGGACCCCGGTGGTTTTCCCATGACGTCACGGGGGGCCCACGCAGACTCTGGGTCCGTGGGGGGCCCGCGTCCTTGTTCTCCCGTTCCTCTCTCTCTCTCTCTCTCTCCCCGCTGCTGTGCTTCTATCATTAGCCCCCGATCACTGCTCCGCGTCCGCTGTGCCCTTCCCTGGTTGCCCCTCTGTTGCTCCTCCGTCCCCCTATGGGGGCATCTTCTTCCGTGGCCCCCCGCTGGTCGTAGGTTGTGCGAGAGCGCATGTTGGCGCAAGGAGGCGGCACCACCTGGCCCGACTAAACACGCCCGCCCCAGTTTCCAGGGAACCCGCAAAGATGTCTCCCAGTTGGGAGCCCTCTCCCCCTGGGACAGGGCACGCGGAGGGCAATTGCCTACGGCCTGGCCCCGCGGTTTTCGGGGCTGGTTACAATGCCCCCTCTCCTTGCCCGGGATTGGCGCCAATGTTATGTTGGGATTGCCGCGGCACAGCATAACAGAACTGGAGGAGCAGGATGAGGAGGGGGAGGAGGACGCCCCCGCATTACGGGGTCAACGTTGCAGTCGTCGCCAGAATCATGCTGATGAGTTATTTCGCTCGCTTGCTTCAGCTTGACCGACTTCGCCTGTGCCACAGTCAACCCTGTGAAAGAGACAGACGCTTCCCCCCCTCGACACGCGGACCGACCACCACAGGCATACTCGTTGCCGTCGTGACGCCAGCATGAGAGCCGCGCTCGTCGCAAGGCCCTCGGGAAGCCGTGGATGGTCCTTCTTCAACACATGAACGAAAAGAGCGTGTGGCAGTCCTCATGTTTTACCCTTTCGGGCAGGACGACGTGGAGGCCCTTGCTCCTCTCGCCGGCGTCGGCTTCGCTTTCGGCATGAAGCGCGACAGCCTCGGCCACTTCGGTACCGACCGCACCGCGACCGACGAGCTGAGCGCCGCAGCCCTGCCACAGGGATTCACGCCGCTCTTGGGGGCGTTTGGTCTTATGTCGAGCGTGGCCTCGCCGCGCGGGGCTGCCAAGCTCCTGCGCGCGCGCTTCTCGGCCTGGCTGCAGCAGTTCTAGCATCAGCAGGTGTTCTTCCTCCTCCCCGGCCTTCTCTTCTTCGTCCGACGACCCCGGGGAGTGCCCCGACCCCAGAGATCCAACTCATTAAAAAAAACAAGACGGAGGTTTTCTAAGTTTTGGGCCTCTGGGGGCCCTCGCCGAGCTTTGGGACCGTCAAAAAACGACTCGGGATGAAAAACCGGTCCGGGGGAATGGGTCGAGACTTCTGGGGACCCCGTATTGAAAAAATCACGACATCGGATCTCTGGGACCCCGACGCTCCCCCCGTCTCCGAGGACCTCCACCGCTCCGAGCTCACAGGCAAAAGCTCCCTGTAGGGCCTCTTGGATGCTGCAGCGGCCTTCCCCCTCCGGTGTGGCCCAATCTGGTCCTCTGCAAAGAGAAATTCGACTCCGCAAAGCGGCTCGTTTCCCGGCGTCATGTACTTTGCTTACAGCAGACCCTCGAGGGCGGAAAAGAGGGGGGTGATGACTAGGGGGGGGTGGATATCATGGCGGGGGCCATGATATTTTCCCCGATTACATGGCGCCTCTTCTTATTCAATTACGTCCCTGGCCCCCTTGCTGGGCCGCGCACATGCTGCTGGTCATGATTTGCACCCCCCCCTCTTGGACACCCCTCTTGGCCGCTCCCGAGACCCGAGGTCCCCAAGAGGCGCCCGATGCCTTCCTCAGAAAAAGTTTCAGGCACGCGTGGGTTCGGCACCTTTCTGGGTTCGCGTGGCCGTGTCGTTCTTGTCGTTCGACACCACGTCGCGCGACGCGGCCGTGCTCGCTACGTTGTGCTAGCGGGGAGCAGCGGGACTGCGCAAACCATGAACCTGCACGATGCAGCCACCATCCCCATCCCCGCTCAGAAGGTGATCCTGGGCCAGGTATGTCGGGCGCGCTACTCCCCCGGAAAAGATTTGAGCCTTTCCCCAGGCGATTAAATTTTCTGTCTCGACGGCGAAGGGCACCACCGTGCGTTTGACAAGTTTATCCCCGCCTAGACAGATATGGCACGGCTTGCCGTTGGTCTTTTTGCTCGCCATCGAATTCATCCAAGAGATGCCCGCCCACAGGGTTGTTCAAGGTGGCGCGATTGCGTCTGACGCCAGGCTTGACCGAATGCTGCGCGGCATGTGTTCCGCCGAGCTTCTCGACGCGCAGCCGTCTACGATGACGATTGGCGATGTGACAGATCGTGGAACTCCACGCGACCACATGCCAGCCCGCCTCGCTCTTGCCCCCAAGCCGAAGAGTGAGGGCGCAGTGTTTATTCCGCCAAGATTGTTACTCCGCTGCCCCGATTGCCCTTCAGAGCGTGAAGCGGTTTTCCTGGAAGCTGGTCCTCTCGATCTCGACCCGTGGGCCCGTCTGGAACAGTACAAGGACACTTCTCGCGAAGCCGCTCGGTCACTCTTCCGTCGGTTGGAGCCCCGCGGCGCCCCCTCGGACCTCACGGAGAAACCCTGGTGCCTGGCCTTCACGCGTGCCGTTCGCTACCACAACGGCTTCTTGATTAAAGGAGCTCACTCCTCAAATCCTAATCTAGCGCAGATTTCGAACGAGAGGTTCCTAGCCTGGACTTGCTTCGATGGGGGCCTA